GTTGTGGATGGTTATGGAAGGTTTTGGATGGTTATGGAAGGTTTTGGATGGTTATGGAAGCTTGTGGATGGTTATGGAAGGTTTTGGATGGTTATGGAAGGTTGTGGATGGTTATGGAAGGTTTTGGATGGTTATGGAAGGTTGTGGATGGTTATGGAACGTTGTGGATGGATAGTTATGGAAGGTTTTGGATGGTTATGGAAGGTTGTGGATGGTTATGGAAAGTTGTGGATGGTTATGGAAGGTTGTGGATGGATAGTTATGGAAGGTTTTGGATGGTTATGGAAGGTTGTGGATGGTTATGGAAGGTTGTGGATGGTTATGGAAGGTTGTGGATGGATAGTTATGGAAGGTTTTGGATGGTTATGGAAGGTTGTGGATGGATAGTTATGGAAGGTTTTGGATGATTATGGAAGGTTGTGGATGGATAGTTATGGAAGGTTTTGGATGGTTATGGAAGGTTGGGGAGCTGGGTTATGGAAGGTTGGGGAGCTGGGTTATGGAAGGTTGGGGAGCTGGGTTATGGAAGGTTGTGGATGGATAGTTATGGAAGGTTTTGGATGGTTATGGAAGGTTTTGGATGGTTATGGAAGGTTGTGGATGGATAGTTATGGAAGGTTTTGGATGGTTATGGAAGGTTGTGGATGGTTATGGAAGGTTGTGGATGGTTATGGAAGGTTTTGGATGGTTATGGAAGGTTGTGGATGGTTATGGAAGGTTTTGGATGGTTATGGAAGGTTGTGGATGGTTATGGAAGGTTTTGAATGGTTATGGATGGTTATGGAAGGTTGTGGATGGTTATGGAAGGTTGTGGATGGTTATGGAAGGTTGTGGATGGTTATGGAAGGTTGTGGATGGTTATGGAAGGTTGTGGAGGGTTATGGAAGGTTGTGGATGGTTATGGAAGGTTTTGGATGGTTATGGAAGGTTGTGGATGGCTATGGAAGGTTGTGGATGGTTATGGAAGGTTGTGGAGGGTTATGGAAGGTTGTGGATGGTTATGGAAGGTTGTGGATGGATAGTTATGGAAGGTTTTGGATGGTTATGGAAGGTTGTGGATGGATAGTTATGGAAGGTTTTGGATAGTTATGGAAGGTTGTGGATGGTTATGGAAGGTTGTGGATGGTTATGGAAGGTTGTGGATGGATAGTTATGGAAGGTTTTGGATGGTTATGGAAGGTTGTGGATGGATAGTTATGGAAGGTTTTGGATGGTTATGGAAGGTTGTGGATGGATAGTTATGGAAGGTTTTGGATGGTTATGGAAGGTTGTGGATGGTTATGGAAGGTTGTGGATGGTTATGGAAGGTTGTGGATGGTTATGGAAGGTTGTGGGTGGATAGTTATGGAAGGTTTTGGATGGTTATGGAAGGTTGTGGATGGATAGATATGGAAGGTTTTGGATGGTTATGGAAGGTTGTGGATGGTTATGGAAGGTTGTGGATGGTTATGGAAGGTTTTGGATGGTTATGGAAGGTTGTGGATGGTTATGGAAGGTTTTGAATGGTTATGGATGGTTATGGAAGGTTGTGGATGGTTATGGAAGGTTGTGGATGGTTATGGAAGGTTGTGGATGGTTATGGAAGGTTGTGGATGGTTATGGAAGGTTGTGGATGGTTATGGAAGGTTGTGGAGGGTTATGGAAGGTTGTGGATGGTTATGGAAGGTTTTGGATGGTTATGGAAGGTTGTGGATGGCTATGGAAGGTTGTGGATGGTTATGGAAGGTTGTGGATGGTTATGGAAGGTTGTGGATGGTTATGGAAGGTTATGGAGGGTTGTGGATGGTTATGGAAGGTTTTGGATGGTTATGGAAGGTTGTGGAGGGTTGTGGATGGTTATGAAAGGTTGTGGATGGTTATGGAAGGTTTAGGATGGTTATGGAAGGTTGTGGATGGATAGTTATGGAAGGTTTTGGATGGTTATGGAAGGTTGTGGATGGTTATGGAAGGTTGTGGATGGTTATGGAAGGTTGTGGATGGTTATGGAAGGTTGTGGATGGTTATGGAAGATTGTGGAGGGTTGTGGATGGTTATGAAAGGTTGTGGATGGTTACGGAAGGTTGTGGATGGTTATGGAAGGTTGTGGAGGGTTGTGGATGGTTGTGGAAGGTTATGGATGGTTATGGATGGTTATGGAGGGTTATGGAAGGTTGTGGATGGTTATGGAAGGTATTCGATGGTTATGGAGGGTTATGGAAGGTTATGGAAGGTTGTGGATGGTTGTGGAGGGTTATGGAAGGTTGTGGATGGTTATGGAAGGTTGTGGATGGTTATGGAGAGTTATGGAATGTTTTGGATGGTTATGGATGGTTATGAAGGGTTATGGAAGGTTGTGGAGGGTTATGGAAGGTTGTGGAGGGTTATGGAGGGTTATGGAAGGTTGTGGATGGTTATGGATGGTTATGGATGGTTATGGAGGGTTATAGAAGGTTGTGGAGGGTTGTGGAGGGTTATGGAAGGTTGTGGATGGTTATGGAGGGTTATGGATGGTTATGGAAGGTTGTGGATGGTTATGGAGGGTTATGAAGGGTTATGGAAGGTTGTGGATGGTTATGGAGGGTTATGGAAGGTTGTGGATAGTTATGGAAGGTTTTGTGACCTTCCATAACCATGGATGGTTATGGAAGGTTGTGGATAGTTATGGAAGGTTTTGTGACCTTCCATAACCATGGATGGTTATGGAAGGTTGTGGATAGTTATGGAAGGTTTTGTGACCTTCCATAACCATGGATGGTTATGGAAGGTTGTGGATAGTTATGGAAGGTTTTGTGACCTTCCATAACCATGGATGGTTATGGAAGGTTGTGGATAGTTATGGAAGGTTTTGTGACCTTCCATAACCATGGATGGTTATGGAAGGTTGTGGATAGTTATGGAGGGTTGTGTGACCTGTTGTTATTGATGTCACTGGGAGCGACATCAATAACAACAGGTCACTTTTCTTCATCATCTCTGTTGTTTATTCAACAAGTTGCCTTTTCCGTTTTGTTTACAATATGTAAGAGTTTACATTTATCAGGAGTAAACCTAAACAGCTATTCACAGACCAATTGATTAAAGTGTTTAAGCTGTTCTATCATGTCATGTCATGGCTTGTACTGTCCTGTTCTGTTCTGTCTTGTCCTGTTCTGTCCTGGTCTGTCCTGGTCTGTCCTGGTCTGTCCTGGTCTGTCCTGGTCTGTCCTGGTCTGTCCTGGTCTGTCCTGGTCTGACCTGGTCTATCCTGTTCTGTCCTGATCTGTCCTGGTATGTCCTGGTCTGTCCTGGTCTGTCCTGGTCTGGCCTGGTCTGTCCTGTTCTGTCCTGATCTGTCCTGGTCTGTCCTGGTCTGTCCTGGTCTGTCCTGGGCTATCCTGTTCTGTCCTGATCTATCCTGGTCTGGTCTGGTCTGTCCTGTTCTGTCCTGATCTGTCCTGGTCTGTCCTGGTCTGTCCTGGTCTGGCCTGGTCTGTCCTGGTCTGTCCTGTTCTGTCCTGGTCTGTCCTGGTCTGTTCTGGTGTGTCCTGGTCTGTCCTGGTCTGGCCTGGTCTGTCCTGGTCTGTCCTGGTCAGTCCTGTTCTATCCTGATCTATCCTGGTCTGGCCTGGTCTGTCCTGTTCTGTCCTGATCTGTCCTGGTCTGTCCTGGTCTGTCCTGGTCTGTTCTGTTCTGTCCTGGTCTGTCCTGGTCTGTCCTGGTGTGTCCTGGTCTGTCCTGGTCTGTCCTGGTCTGGCCTGGTCTGTCCTGGTCTGTCCTGGTCTGTCCTGGTCTGGCCTGGTCTGTCCTGGTCTGTCCTGCTCTGTCCTGGTCTGTCCTGGTGTGTCCTGGTCTGTCCTGGTCTGTCCTGGTCTGGCCTGGTCTGTCCTGGTCTGTCCTGGTCTGTCCTGTTCTGTCCTGGTCTGGTCTGGTCTGGTCTATCCTGGTCTGTCCTGTTCTGTCCTGGTCTGTCCTGGTCTGGCCTGGTCTGGCCTGGTCTGGCCTGATCTGTCCTGTTCTGTCCTGGTCTGTCCTGTTCTGTCCTGGTCTGGCCTGATCTGTCCTGTTCTGTCCTGGTCTGTCCTGTTCTGTCCTGGTCTGTCCTGGTCTGTCCTGGTGTGTCCTGGTCTGTCCTGGTCTGGCCTGGTCTGTCCTGGTCTGTCCTGGTCTGGCCTGGTCTGTCCTGGTCTGTCCTGTTCTGTCCTGGTCTGTCCTGGTGTGTCCTGGTCTGTCCTGGTCTGTCCTGGTCTGACCTGGTCTGGCCTGGTCTGTCCTGGTCTGGCCTGGTCTGGCCTGGTCTGTCCTGGTTTGTCCTGGTCTGTCCTGTTCTGTCCTGGTCTGGTCTGGTCTGGTCTGTCCTGGTCTGTCCTGTTCTGTCCTGGTCTGTCCTGGTCTGGCCTGGTCTGGCCTGGTCTGGCCTGGTCTGTCCTGGTCTGGCCTGGTCTGTCCTGGTCTGTCCTGGTCTGGCCTGATCTGTCCTGTTCTGTCCTGGTCTGTCATGTTCTGTCCTGGTCTGTCCTGGTCTGTCCTGGTCTGGCCTGGTCTGGCCTGGTCTGACCTGGTCTGTCCTGTTCTGTCCTGATCTGTCCTGGTCTGTCCTGGTCTGGCCTGGTCTGTCCTGTTCTGTCCTGGTCTGTCCTGGTCTGGCCTGCTCTGTCCTGGTCTGTCCTGGTCTGGCCTGGGCCTGGCCTATAATGTCCTGTTTTGTTCTGGCCTGTTCTAGTCTATCCTGTTCTATCCTGTGCAATCCAGTGCAGTATAATTGATCTGACTCTGTGGTTTCCAGCAACGAGAACGAGGGAGGGGGAACCTGAGTGAAGGGGGGAAGGGGTAGAAGGGGTGGAGGGTGAGGGGGAGGCCTCGGGTATGGGGCATTAGAAGGGGTGGTGGGTGAGGGGCGGACCTAGAGGAGTCGATGCTCCCTTACCTTGCTCTTTGCTGCAAGAAACTTGCAGATTGTCTCTCCACTAAGGAGATGACAAACATTCACGCAGCGGCTCTTCACCTTCACGTAACATTGACAAAGAAAAAAATTGTATTTTTTTTTATCCCATCCAGTTTTTGCAGAGTGGCGCGACATCCGGGATACCCCGAGCCTCGGGTGGCGCGAGGCCTCGCCCACTGCTGAAGCCTAGCCGCTGCGGGAACCTTGGCCGCCGCCTGAAGTAGGAACTTTGGCCGCCGCCTGAAGTAGGAACCTTGGCCGCCGCCTGAAGTAGGAACCTTGGCCGCCGCCTGAAGTAGGAACCTTGGCAGCCGCCTGAAGTAGGAGGAACCTTGGCCGCCGCCTGAAGTAGGAGGAACCTTGGCCGCCGCCTAAAGTAGGAGGAACCTTGGCCGTCGCCTGAAGTAGGAGGAACCTTGGCCGCCGCCTGAAGTAGGAGGAACCTTGGCCGCCGCCTGAAGTAGGAGGAACCTTGGCCGCCGCCTGCAGCAGGAACCTTGGCCGCCGCCTGAAGTAGGAGGAACCTTGGCCGCCGCCTGCAGCAGGAACCTTGGCCGCCGCCTGAAGTAGGAGGAACCTTGGCCGCCGCCTGAAGTAGGAACCTTGGCCGCCGCTTGAAGTAGGAGGAACCTTGGCCGCCGCCTGAAGTAGGAACCTTGGCCGCCGCCTGAAGTAGGAGGAACCTTGGCCGCCGCCTGAAGTAGGAACCTTGGCCGCCGCCTGCAGCAGGAACCTTGGCCGCCGCCTGCAGCAGGAACCTTGGCCGCCGCCTGAAGTAGGAGGAACCTTGGCCGCCGCCTGAAGTAGGAACCTTGGCCGCCGCTTGAAGTAGGAGGAACCTTGGCCGCCGCCTGAAGTAGGAACCTTGGCCGCCGCCTGAAGTAGGAGGAACCTTGGCCGCCGCCTGCAGCAGGAACCTTGGCCGCCGCCTGCAGCAGGAACCTTGGCCGCCGCCTGAAGTAGGAGGAACCTTGGCCGCCGCCTGAAGTAGGAGGAACCTTGGCCGCCGCCTGAAGTAGGAGGAACCTTGGCCGCCGCCTAAAGTAGGAGGAACCTTGGCCGTCGCCTGAAGTAGGAGGAACCTTGGCCGCCGCCTGAAGTAGGAACCTTGGCCGCCGCCTGAAGTAGGAGGAACCTTGGCCGCCGCCTGAAGTAGGAACCTTGGCCGCCGCCTGAAGTAGGAACCTTGGCCGCCGCGTGAAGTAGGAACCTTGGCCGCCGCCTGAAGTAGGAGGAACCTTGGCCGCCGCCTGAAGTAGGAACCTTGGCCGCCGCCTGAAGTAGGAACCTTGGCCGCCGCCTGAAGTAGGAGGAACCTTGGCCGCCGCCTGAAGTAGGAACCTTGGCCGCCGCCTGAAGTAGGAGGAACCTTGGCCGCCGCCTGAAGTAGGAACCTTGGCCGCCGCCTGAAGTAGGAGGAACCTTGGCCGCCGCCTGCAGCAGGAACCTTGGCCGCCGCCTGCAGCAGGAACCTTGGCCGCCGCCTGAAGTAGGAGGAACCTTGGCCGCCGCCTGAAGTAGGAACCTTGGCCGCCGCCTGAAGTAGGAGGAACCTTGGCCGCCGCCTGAAGTAGGAACCTTGGCCGCCGCCTGAAGTAGGAGGAACCTTGGCCGCCGCCTGCAGCAGGAACCTTGGCCGCCGCCTGCAGCAGGAACCTTGGCCGCCGCCTGAAGTAGGAGGAACCTTGGCCGCCGCCTGAAGTAGGAGGAACCTTGGCCGCCGCCTGAAGTAGGAGGAACCTTGGCCGCCGCCTGAAGTAGGAACCTTGGCCGCCGCCTGAAGTAGGAGGAACCTTGGCCGCCGCCTGCAGCAGGAACCTTGGCCGCCGCCTGAAGTAGGAACCTTGGCCGCCGCCTGAAGTAGGAGGAACCTTGGCCGCCGCCTGAAGTAGGAGGAACCTTGGCCGCCGCCTGAAGTAGGAGGAACCTTGGCCGCCGCCTGAAGTAGGAGGAACCTTGGCCGCCGCCTGCAGCAGGAACCTTGGCCGCCGCCTGCAGCAGGAACCTTGGCCACCGCCTGAAGTAGGAGGAACCTTGGCCGCCGCCTGAAGTAGGAGGAACCTTGGCCGCCGCCTGCAGCAGGAACCTTGGCCGCAGCCTGCAGCAGGAACCTTGGCCGCAGCCTGCAGCAGGAACCTTGGCCGCCGCCTGCAGCAGGAACCTTGGCCGCCGCCTGAAGTAGGAGGAACCTTGGCCGCCGCCTGCAGCAGGAACCTTGGCCGCAGCCTGCAGCAGGAACCTTGGCCGCCGCCTGAAGTAGGAACCTTGGCCGCCGCCTGAAGTAGGAGGAACCTTGGCCGCCGCCTGAAGTAGGAACCTTGGCCGCCGCCTGAAGTAGGAGGAACCTTGGCCGCCGCCTGCAGCAGGAACCTTGGCCGCCGCCTGAAGTAGGAGGAACCTTGGCCGCCGCCTGCAGCAGGAACCTTGGCCGCCGCCTGAAGTAGGAGGAACCTTGGCCGCCGCCTGAAGTAGGAGGAACCTTGGCCGCCGCCTGAAGTAGGAGGAACCTTGGCCACCGCCTGAAGTAGGAGGAACCTTGGCCGCCGCCTGCAGCAGGAACCTTGGCCGCCGCCTGCAGCAGGAACCTTGGCCGCCGCCTGAAGTAGGAGGAGCCTTGGCCGCCGCCTGCAGCAGGAACCTTGGCCGCCGCCTGAAGTAGGAGGAACCTTGGCCGCCGCCTGAAGTAGGAACCTTGGCCGCCGCCTGAAGTAAGAGGAACCTTGGCCGCCGCCTGAAGTAGGAACCTTGGCCGCCGCTTGAAGTAGGAGGAACCTTGGCCGCCGCCTGAAGTAGGAACCTTGGCCGCCGCCTGAAGTAGGAGGAACCTTGGCCGCCGCCTGCAGCAGGAACCTTGGCCGCCGCCTGAAGTAGGAGGAACCTTGGCCGCCGCCTGAAATAGGAGGAACCTTGGCCGCCGCCTGAAGTAGGAGGAATCTTGGCCGCCGCCTGCAGCAGGAACCTTGGCCGCCGCCTGAAGTAGGAGGAACCTTGGCCGCCGCCTGCAGCAGGAACCTTGGCCGCCGCCTGAAGTAGGAGGAACCTTGGCCGCCGCCTGAAGTAGGAGGAACCTTGGCCACCGCCTGAAGTAGGAGGAACCTTGGCCGCCGCCTGCAGCAGGAACCTTGGCCGCCGCCTGAAGTAGGAGGAACCTTGGCCGCCGCCTGAAGTAGGAGGAACCTTGGCTGCCGCCTGAAGTAGGAGGAACCTTGGCCGCCGCCTGCAGCAGGAACCTTGGCCGCCGCCTGAAGTAGGAGGAACCTTGGCCGCCGCCTGAAGTAGGAACCTTGGCCGCCGCTTGAAGTAGGAGGAACCTTGGCCGCCGCCTGAAGTAGGAACCTTGGCCGCCGCCTGAAGTAGGAGGAACCTTGGCCGCCGCCTGAAGTAGGAGGAACCTTGGCCGCCGCCTGCAGCAGGAACCTTGGCCGCCGCCTGAAGTAGGAGGAACCTTGGCCGCCGCCTGCAGCAGGAACCTTGGCCGCCGCCTGAAGTAGGAGGAACCTTGGCCGCCGCCTGCAGCAGGAACCTTGGCCGCCGCCTGAAGTAGGAGGAACCTTGACCGCCGCCTGCAGCAGGAACCTTGGCCGCCGCCTGCAGCAGGAACCTTGGCCGCCGCCTGAAGTAGGAGGAACCTTGGCCGCCGCCTGCAGCAGGAACCTTGGCCGTGTCTGTAGTAGAGAGGGGCATGTGGTAGGAGCCGTTGACCACCAGCAGGAGGAGCCCTTATGGTGAATATTTTGTGGCAGACATTTAGTGTTAGCAGGTCCTAGCAGGTGCCAGGTAGAGACGCTGGACCCGCCACCGATGGAGTCCGCGCTCTCTTGGGTCCTCGAGAGAGCGTGTACCTCTTCCCTGCTACACATTCCAATGCTAATTTATGATTTAAAAAATGAGTAAATTGACAACTCTTTAACAAAAAAATTAAGATATTTTAAGCTAAAAATTATGATTATCTGTGAAGGAAATGAACAGAAGAGTGAAGAATTTTCAGAGCTTTATGTTAACTTTATTAGCATGCCTCATACCTCAAAGTAGCATTGATACACTATAATAAAACTCTGAAATTAGCCAGTTCTACGGGATGAACCACCAAATGCTTTCACAGTAACCGGATATTATCAGCTGCATATGCAAGGCTGGCTAGCATGAGGCAGCCTTGTGGAAGGAGTCACTCAGGAGCCTGTATACCACATATGCCAGACCAGCTATGAGATATGTAGCGCCAGTGTGCTCACCTTGTGGGGGTTGAGCTCTGGCTCTTTGGTCCCGCCTCTCAACCGTCAATCTACTGGTGTACAGATTTCTGAGCCTACTGGGCTCTATCATATCTACATTTGAAATTTTGTATGGAGTCAGCCTCCACCACATCATTTCCTAGTACATTTCATTTACTAACCACTCTGACACTGAAAAAGTTCTTTCTAATGTCTCTGTGGCTCATTTGGGTACTCAGCTTCCACCTGTGTCCCCTTGTTCGTGTACCACCAGTGTTAAATAATCCATCCTTGTCTACCCAATCAATTCCCCTGAGAATTTTGTATGTGGTGATCATGTCTCCCCGAGCTCTTCTGTCTTCCAGCGAAGTCAGGTGCAGTTTACGCAGCCTTTCCTCATAACTCATGCCTCTTAGTTCTGGGACTAGCCTAGTGGTATACCTCTGAACTTTTTCCAGCTTCGTCTTGTGCTTGACAAGGTACGGGCTCCATGCTGGACCCGCATACTCCAGGATTGGTCTTACGTATGTGGAATACAAGGTTCTGAAGGATTCTCTACACAGGTTTCAAAAAGCAGTTCTGATGTTAGCCAGCCTCGCATAGACCGCTGATGTTACTCTTTTGATGTGGGCTTCAGGAGACAGGTTTGGCGTGATATCAACTCCCAGATCTTTCTCTCTGTCCGTTTCGTGAAGGACTTCATCTGCCATTCAGTATCCAGTGTCTGGCCTCCTGTTTCCTCCTTTTAGTTTCATTACTTTACATTTACTTTGCTTGAACTTTAGAAGCCATGTGTTAGAACATTACTTCAGTTTGTCAAAGTCATCTTGTAGCCTCATACTATCTTCCTCTGTCTTGATCCTCCTCATAAATTTTGCATCATCAGCAAACATTGAGAGGAACGAGTCTATTCCTTCTGGGAGATCATTTACTATATCAGAAACAATATAGGTCTAAGGACTGACCCCTGTGGGACTCCAATGGTGACTCCTCGCCACTCCGAAAGCTCATCCCTCACAGTGACTCGCTGTGTCCTGTTGCTTAAGTACTCCCTTATCCAGTGGAGTACCTTCCCTTTCACTCCTGCCTGCATCTCCAGTTTGTGCACTAGTCTTTTATGTGGTACTGTGTCAAAGGCTTTATGGCAGTCCAGAAATATGCAGTCTGCCCACTTCTCTCTCTCTCTTGGCTATTTTTTTTTTTGCCTGGTCATAGAACTTAATTAAACCTGTCAGGCATGATTTGCCATCTCTGAACCCATGCTGGTGTTGTGTTACAAAGTACTTTTGCTCCAGATGTTCCACTAGCTTTTTCCGCACAATCTTCTCCATCAGCTTGCATGGTATGCAAGTTAGGGACACTGGCCTGTAGTTCAGTGCCTCCTGCTCCTTCATATAGAATTCACGGTGAGTCCATCCGGGCCTATAGCCTTTGTCACGTCCAAGTCTAGCAGATGCTTCCTCACCTCTCCACTGATAATCACAACTCCTCTACTGATGTCTGATTTGATATTCCCTCTCTTATCTCTGGGATTTCTTGCTCTGTGGTGAAAACCTCTTGGAATTTCTTATTGAATTCCTCGCACACTTCCTTGTCGTTTGTAGTGAATCTGTCTGCCCCTATCCTCAGTTTCATTACCTGTTCCTTCACTGTTGTTTTCCTCCTGATGTGGCTATGCAGCAGTTTGGGTTGAGTCTTTGCCTTGCTCGCTATGTCATTTCATACTGCCTCTCTACCTCTCTTCTCACCCTGACGTATTCATTCCTGGCGCTCTGGTATCTTTCTCTGCTCTCTAGTGTTCTGTTGTTTCTATAGTTTCTCCACGTCCTTTTATTTAGTTGCTTTGCTAACTTACATCTCTGATTAAACCTTGGGTTTCTCATCTGCATTTCATTTTGGACTGGGACGAAAGTGTTAATCCATACTTTGCTAAGTCGATGTTCCTTGTGGTATAGTGCAGGCATGAGGGTCCTCACACTGAGGGTCCCCCGAGGGCCATATGGGCCATATTTGTGTTGTCATGAGGGCCACACACCACAACTGTGGGTCCCCCGAGGGCCATATTGGCCACATGTGTGTTGTCATGAGGGCCACACACCGCAACTGAGGGTCCCCCGAGGGCCATATTGGCCACATGTGTGTTGTCATGAGGGCCACACACCACAACTGAGGGTCCCCCGAGGGCCATATTGGCCACATGTGTGTTGTCATGAGGGCCACACACCACAACTGAGGTCCCCCGAGGGCCATATTGGCCACATGTGTGTTGTCATGAGGGCCACACACCACAACTGAGGGTCCCCCGAGGGCCATATTGGCCACATGTGTGTTGTCATGAGGGCCACACACCACAACTGAGGGTCCCCCGAGGGCCATATGGGCCACATGTGTGTTGTCATGAGGGCCACACACCACAACTGTGGGTCCCCCGAGGGCCATATTGGCCACATGTGTGTTGTCATGAGGGCCACACACCGCAACTGAGGGTCCCCCGAGGGCCATATTGGCCACATGTGTGTTGTCATGAGGGCCACACACCACAACTGAGGTCCCCCGAGGGCCATATTGGCCACATGTGTGTGTCATGTCATGAGGGGGCCACATGTGTGTTGTCACCACACCACAACTGAGGGTCCCCCGAGGGCCATATTGGCCACATGTGTGTTGTCATGAGGGCCACACACCACAACTGCGGGTCCCCCGAGGGCCATATGGGCCACATGTGTGTTGTCATGAGGGCCACACACCACAACTGAGGGTCCCCCGAGGGCCATATTGGCCACATGTGTGTTGTCATGAGGGCCACACACCACAACTGAGGGTCCCCCGAGGGCCATATTGGCCACATGTGTGTTGTCATGAGGGCCACACACCACAACTGAGGGTCCCCCGAGGGCCATATTGGCCACATGTGTGTTGTCATGAGGGCCACACACCACAACTGAGGGTCCCCCGAGGGCCATATTGGCCACATGTGTGTTGTCATGAGGGCCACACACCACAACTGCGGGTCCCCCGAGGGCCATATTGGCCACATGTGTGTTGTCATGAGGGCCACACACCACAACTGCGGGTCCCCCGAGGGCCATATGGGCCACATGTGTGTTGTCATGAGGACCACACACCACAACTGCGGGTCCCCCGAGGGCCATATTGGCCACATGTGTGTTGTCATGAGGGCCACACACCACAACTGCGGGTCCCCCGAGGGCCATATTGGCCACATGTGTGTTGTCAAGTGTCATGTCACAGTTCAACTAATTGATCATCATTCATCATCATAATTTGATCGTTATTCATCATTTAATAACAAAAAATGCAGAATATTTTTATTAAACTTAGAAACATACAATGTTCATACCAATGGTTTAGCAGCTGGCCACATTCATTAATGTAAAGTAATCAATGTGGTAATTTTAACAAAAGAAAAGAACTAAATATTAAACGGCAACATAGACTTCTAAGCAACAACAACAAATACATTGCACAAAAATTACAACAGGTCAAAATGAACATTTTACTTACGAATATTCAATCATTTTTAGTGTTTTGTCCTGAGGCTTGACACCTCTTGAGGGAGCCGGTCGGCCGAGCGGACAGCACGCTGGACTTGTGATCCTGTGGTCCCGGGTTCGATCCTGGGTGCCGGCGAGAAACAATGGGCAGAGTTTCTTTCACCCTATGCCCCTGTAACCTAGCAGTAAAATAGGTACCTGGGTGTTAGTCAGCTGTCACGGGCTGCTTCCTGGGGGTGGAGGCCTGGTCGAGGACCGGGCCGCGGGGACACTAAAAGCCCCGAAATCATCTCAAGATAACCTCAAGATAACCTCTCTTTAATGACCAATTTTTGCTGCCTGGCAGAAATGTGTGAGCAGTTCCCACTGTGATCAGACATGACATGTGTTGATCAGTCGGCCTTGTTCTCTGTGAAGTTTTCACCAGTTAAAAAATTGAAGCGAAATTTAGGTCAGATTAAGAATTAACGTCACGTCTGTTTTTTGTAGAAGTGTTAACTCGCTTGCCTCACAGCTGCCTTCGTGTTTCTTGTGTGCTTTTGAAATCTATTACAAGGTGATAGTTTAAATAATAAAATGGCAGTTTTGGCTGTTAAATGTCCAAATTACAGTACCCTCACAAGTGTATACCACCCACCCGGTACCCTCACAAGTGTATATCACTCACCCGGTACCCTCACAAGTGTATACCACTCACCCGGTACCCTCACAAGTGTATACCACTCACCCGGTACCCTCACAAGTGTATACCACTCACCCGGTACCCTCACAAGTGTATACCACTCACCCGGTACCCTCACAAGTGTATACCACTCACCCGGTACCCTCACAAGTGTATATCACTCACCCGGTACCCTCACAAGTGTATACCACTCACCCGGTACACTCACAAGTGTATACCACTCACCCGGTACCCTCACAAGTGTATACCACTCACCCGGTACCCTCACAAGTGTATATCACTCACCCGGTACCCTCACAAGTGTATACCACTCACCCGGTACACTCACAAGTGTATACCACTCACCCGGTACCCTCACAAGTGTATACCACTCACCCGGTACCCTCACAAGTGTATACCACTCACCCGGTACCCTCACAAGTGTATACCACTCACCCGGTACCCTCACAAGTGTATATCACTCACCCGGTACCCTCACAAGTGTATACCACTCACCCGGTACACTCACAAGTGTATACCACTCACCCGGTACCCTCACAAGTGTATACCACTCACCCGGTACCCTCACAAGTGTATACCACCCACCCGGTACCCTCACAAGTGTATACCACTCACCCGGTACCCTCACAAGTGTATACCACTCACCCGGTACCCTCACAAGTGTATACCACTCACCCGGTACCCTCACAAGTGTATACCACTCACCCGGTACCCTCACAAGTGTATACCACTCACCCGGTACCCTCACAAGTGTATACCACCCACCCGGTACCCTCACAAGTGTATACCACTCACCCGGTACCCTCACAAGTGTATACCACTCACCCGGTACCCTCACAAGTGTATACCACCCACCCGGTACCCTCACAAGTGTATACCACTCACCCGGTACCCTCACAAGTGTATACCACTCACCCGGTACCCTCACAAGTGTATACCACTCACCCGGTACCCTCACAAGTGTATACCACTCACCCGGTACCCTCACAAGTGTATACCACTCACCCGGTACCCTCACAAGTGTATACCACTCACCCGGTACCCTCACAAGTGTATACCACTCACCCGGTACCCTCACAAGTGTATACCACTCACCCGGTACCCTCACAAGTGTATACCACTCACCCGGTACCCTCACAAGTGTATACCACTCACCCGGTACCCTCACAAGTGTATACCACTCACCCGGTACCCTCACAAGTGTATATCACTCACCCGGTACCCTCACAAGTGTATACCACTCACCCGGTACCCTCACAAGTGTATACCACTCACCCGGTACCCTCACAAGTGTATATCACTCACCCGGTACCCTCACAAGTGTATACCACTCACCCGGTACCCTCACAAGTGTATACCACCCACCCTCACAAGTGTCACCCGGTACCCTCACAAGTGTATACCACTCACCCGGTACCCTCACAAGTGTATACCACTCACCCGGTACCCTCACAAGTGTATACCACTCACCCGGTACCCTCACAAGTGTATACCACTCACCCGGTACCCTCACAAGTGTATACCACTCACCCGGTACCCTCACAAGTGTATACCACTCACCCGGTACCCTCACAAGTGTATACCCTCACTCACCCGGTACCCTCACAAGTGTATACCCTCACTCACCCGGTACCCTCACAAGTGTATATCACTCACCCGGTACCCTCACAAGTGTATACCACTCACCCGGTACCCTCACAAGTGTATATCACTCACCCGGTACCCTCACAAGTGTATATCACTCACCCGGTACCCTCACAAGTGTATATCACTCACCCGGTACCCTCACAAGTGTATACCACTCACCCGGTACCCTCACAAGTGTATACCACTCACCCGGTACCCTCACAAGTGTATATCACTCACCCGGTACCCTCACAAGTGTATACCACTCACCCGGTACCCTCACAAGTGTATACCACTCACCCGGTACCCTCACAAGTGTATACCACTCACCCGGTACCCTCACAAGTGTATACCACTCACCCGGTACCCTCACAAGTGTATACCACTCACCCGGTACCCTCACAAGTGTATACCACTCACCCGGTACCCTCACAAGTGTATACCACTCACCCGGTACCCTCACAAGTGTATACCACTCACCCGGTACCCTCACAAGTGTATACCACACCCGGTACCCTCACCTACTCACCCGGTACCCTCACAAGTGTATACCACCCACCCGGTACCCTCACAAGTGTATACCACCCACCCGGTACCCCTCACAAGTGTATACCACCCACCCGGTACCCCTCACAAGTGTATACCACCCACCCGGTACCCCTCACAAGTGTATACCACCCACCCGGTACCCTCACAAGTGAGAACGACCCAGGTTTGAGACACATGTGAGAATGGACGAGTGAGTACCAGTTCTTCACTGTTCACTCACTTCCTCTACAGTGAATGAGGCTCCACTATTTACAACCTGGTCTTGGTTGTAAAGCACGGAGAGGAAGGTGTTCTGGGACAACAAGGAGGCTGAGGCTTCACATGAGCTGTGGGACGGAGAGTCCTCCATCCCATAGCTCATCTTCTATATAATGACTCCAACGCTCCTCTATTATCAGGAACGTTGTAAATAGCAAAGATGCCTCTTTTTAACAGGCACCTTTGCTATTCTTAACTGCTTTCTTAATCCTCCTAATACAGCTTGAAGTTGCAGCCCGTCCTCTCAGGTGTTCCCAATGGCACTAAACTGATGTACAAATTGTCCTAACCTAACCTAACGGATTACCCACGGATAGAAAACGGGACATGACGGCAATTTTTCAAGCCCCTGTGATTTTTAGTACCATCTTTTGAACTGAAGGGATTAACTAATTAACTCCCCCCCCCCCCTCGTTACCTACATTTATCTCAGGAACTATCCCCATTACTCTCTAAATTCAATTCCATCATTACCTCAATCATACCATTTCTTGGATATCCTAAGATTATTATCATGTTCAATTCAAGTTCAAATTTGTTTATTGAGACAATAAAATACATCTTAAAGGGATAGAGTAGCTTAGGCTATTTCTACCCCTCTGCTTCAGGTCCCTCAAGGGGCGCACTAATACAGTGAGTACAAACCCACAAATCACAATACAAGAATCACATTTAACATTACACACAGAAATCACAATAGTGTGATGCATCAAATGAACAAATCCACAAGGACCGTGATGAGGATTCGAACCTACGCCTGAGAGGATCCCCGACGCGCCTTAATCGACTGTGCCACAGCATGGTAAAAGAATTGCAACCGGAAGGTCTACTCACCTCGTTTGTGTCTCGGAGAGACTGCAGGATCCATGTGAGGTGAGTAGAATTCCCGGTTGCATTCTTTTACCATGTCATGGCACAGTTGCTTAGGGCGCGTCTGGAATCCTCTCGGACGTAGGTTCGAACCCTCATCACATCACGATCCTTGTAGATTTCTTCGTGTGATGCATCACGCTGTTGTGATTTCTGCGTGTAAGGTAGGAATAAAGAACAATGTATGTTAAAGTATAATAGTTTACCTCAAAACTATCAGACAGCTCAAGCACAGCGGACTGTGCGTGAGCTGTCCTTACAGCGTGCAGTCTAAAAGAAATACCGACGCCAGCAGACAGCTGATTCTTTATTTTGTTTCGGAAGACAAGTACGGTGGCCCGTAGGACCATCCTTACAGCTAAACGTGAGAGTTGGAAATCTTATATCTCCATCATTATGTCCAATACTCCTCTACCGCAGATCTGGAACAAAATCCGCATGATAGCGGGTAAGTTTGTTCCAGATGTCTCGCCGGTCCTATACCTCCGTGGTACTCTTGTGGCGGATCCAGTGACTGTCACGACCGAACTAGGTTTCCACTTTTCGGCTGTTAGCACCGGTTCTCACCTTCCTTCTTTGTAACCCCGTCCTTGACTCTCATCCCTTAGATTTCCGGACTCATCTCCGACTTCCCTATAATGATCTCTTCTCTCTCTCTCTGAACTTCAATCTGCTCTGGCCCTCTGCAGTTCTACGGCAGCGGGATCAGATGACATTCATTATGTTATGCTTCGTCATCTCCCTCCATGCGTGTCTCAGTATTTACTGAATCTGTATAACCAGGTCTGGGAGTCGTCAGTCCCCGAGGGTTGGCTCGATGTGGTTGTAATCCTTATTCGGAAACCAGGGTTTCTGGGGACATCCCCTAAGGACTTCCACCCTATTGCACTCATAAGTTACGTTTGCAAACTCTTTGAACGTATAGTCAATGTCCATCTGATGTGGTTCTTAGAGCACTATCACCACCTCTCTTCTTCTCAATTTGGTTTTTGCAAGTGCCGCAGCACTACTGATGTTTTGATGAACTTGGAGGTCTATATTCGTACTGCTTTTGCTGCGAAGACCTCCGTTGTTGCTGTCCTTTTTTACCTAGAAAAAGCATATGACTCCACCTGGAGATACCATATTCTGTCCCAACTTCGTTCTTTTGGCCTTCAAGGTAATTGAAGTAATCTCCCTCTCTTCCTCCAAAGCTTCCTTTTTAGTCGTTCCTGTAGAGTGAGGCTTGGTACCACTCTCTCTGTCTCTTTTCGGAAATACGAAGGTGTACCCCAAGGTAGTGTTCTGAGCACTACTTGTTACGGCCCTCTCGGGACGCAACGGGGTTCTTGCTCTGATGTAGTTAGAGGAAGATATATATCCGGCCCCAAGCCAGTAGAGGCTATCAAGGGATGCGATCCGTGACGCAAGTAACTTAAAGGGAGTAGGGAAAGAAAGCTAAGAACTTAATATAATATATTGACCACCACCAATAAATAAATATTATATAAAAGGAGTACACAGGGGGAGGGGTATTAATGCTATGCAAGGGGATTATTCACTGTAGTCTTCTGCTGAAGACTCTGGTGCCACACCACTTTCGGTGCCGATTCCTTGGTGCTTTCTTCGTGGCCTCAAGACGTGTCCTCTGCGAACGCCGAGTCTACCCTGGCCACAGGTCAGCCACAACACAGGTCCACTGGGGGCACCGTCGTGGAGGCCGTCAACCACACGTCCAGCAGGTCTGCTGGCAGGTACAGAGCCACCAAGGCTGGTACGGCCACTCCACGAACGATATAAGGGGTACGCCCTAGACAGGAGTCTCGTGTGATATCACCAATCACCCTCCTGTCCTCAATACCCCAGTGGATTATCGTCTCCAACCGTCGGTCCCGGGTAAATCCTTCCACTGCCACTCCACTGGCAGGCTAACACACCACAGTGTTCTTCCGGGGGGGCGACGTCACGACAGCTGCAGCAAACTTCACTGTATGGAGACTGGCTGCCTCGGGTAGACTGACTACACCTTCAACACTGTGGTCCCAGGTCGGCTCTGTAAACAGACACGTCATCAATAACTGGGACACTAATACACCATACTCACAGGCTCAGGTACTAACACCTGACGTATTCAGTCCATAGATGGCGCTGTCGTCGGAGCACCACCTCACCAGAGGTCAGGAGCGGCGGTGTTGAGCGCTGAACCAGACTGGAAACTGGTCCTCGAGGCCAGTACACGCTGTCCTCACTAGGTGTCGTCGTTCGTTTGGCGGGGGTTTCGGGAGCTGACCCACAGATGGCGTGTTTGTCACTGCTCCAGGCTAGGACGTTGGATCCGGGTTCGTAACACTACTCTTTTACTGGTTGCCCTCAATGGTCTTCTTTCCTTCCTTCCCTCTGACCTCTTCTCAGCACTCTATGTTGATAATCTTACCCTTTGTTGTCGAAAAGACTCTCCTTCAACGACGACTTCAACTTGCGACTGATGCCGTCGTCTTGGGCCACCAATCATGGCTGTAAGTTCTCTACAACTAAGACTTGCTTCATGACTTTTACTTGAACGTAAGTAGTTCTTCGTCCCTCTTTGCCACTTTATGGTCACCCCTTGTGTACAAAGATTCTGCTAAGCTTTTGGGGTTAATCTTTGACACTCGTTTGTCTTGGTCGCCCCATATCTCTTACCTCCGAGTTGAATGCTCTAATAATATTAAGGCCCTTAACCTCCTTAAGGTTTTGTCCCATACTTCTTGGGGAGCTGATAGGTCAACGCTCCTCTCTTTACATTCCTCTCTACTTATGTCTAAACTCGATTATGGTTGCCCTGCTTACTCGTCTGCTTCTCCCACTCTTTGCCGTCTTGGTGCTCTACACCATACTGGGTTGCCCCTCAGCTCTGGTGCCTTTCGTTCGACTCCCGCCCTCAGCTTGTATGTTGAAACCGGCGTCCTGTCTCTCCAGGATCGCCGTGATCGCTACTGTCTTCCCTACCTTGGGCGAAGACACCCTCACTCTCACTTATGTTGTGCCTTGACTTTTGCTCCTTTTGCTTTGAGAAAGAAAAGGAAAGAGAAAGAAAGAAATGGAAGGGGGAAAGCTTATGTTAAGTCACGTTTGTTAGAAAGATTAGAGCATTTGAGTATATACTGTGAAAGGGAAGAGTCCACAGCAACAAAGCCAGGACTCAAGTTCATGTTGGGTACATTGTGTATAAGAGCCGATTCTACAAGACGGCGTCTGTGTAGAGTAGAGGCAGGAAAGATTATTTTGGAGGAAGACCAATCAATGGGATGATTAGAATCCCTCACATGGCAAAAGAGAGCATTGTTAGTGTCTGCAGACTTAACACTTCTCTTGTGTTCATTAAGTCTGTCATTCAGTGTACGGCCAGTTTCGCCAAAGTATTGGAGAGGACAAGATGAACAGGAAATAGAGTAGACACCAGCAGCATTAGAAGCAGGAGGAGCAGTGTGAACTAGATTGCTACGAAGTGTGTTAGTTTGTCGAAAGGCGAGTTTAATGTCAAGAGGACGAAAGGTATTGGTAAAAGTTTTGAGTTCAGATATGAAGGGAAGGCATAGTACAGTGCTACTAGTGTTGGAAGCAGGTTTAGGATGAAAGAAATTTCGTTTAGCTTGAGAGTGGGCACAGTTGATGAAATGCAAAGGATAACCAAGGCGAGAGAATGATTTGTAGATAAAGGCAATTTCAGAATCAAGAAACTGAGGGTCGCTGATGCGTAGAGCGCGGAGGAAGAGAGAGACGAGGACACTTTTCTTAACAGAAGGAGGATGGTAGGAAAAGAAGTGAATGTACATGCCACTATGCATGGGTTTACGGTAGACAGAGAAAGAGAACCCAGACACAGAGCTGTGAACATGAACATCAAGAAAAGGAAGGAGGGAATTAGATTCCCACTCAACTTTGAAATGGATAGAAGGAGCCAGATTGTTAAGAGAGGCGAGGAAGGGCTGGAAAAGATTAAGGTCATGAGGCCATAAAGCAAAACTGTCATCAACATATCGAAGCCAGAGAGAGGGACGAGTATCAATAGAAGGAAGAAGAACAGTTTTGAAGTATTCCATGTAGAAATTAGCAAGAACAGGGGAGAGAGGGGAACCCATAGCGACGCCGAAAGTTTGAGTGTAATATTTACCGTTGAAAGAGAAAGAGTTAGATTCAACACAGAGTCTAATGAGATCGAGGAAAACGTCAGTGGGAAGTGGGAGAGGAAGGAGACCCTCTGACGCCTTCTGTCTGAGGAAAGAGAGAACGTCATCGAGCGGAACATTAGTGAACAGAGAGTCGACATCAAGACTAAGCATCTTACAAGAGGGTTGCAGGCGCAGTCTTTCTATGAAGTCCTGAGAGTGACGAAGGTGGGCAGGGGAAAAAGTGCCAAGGTAAGGTGTCAGGGTTTTAGCGAGCCAGGAGGCAAGAGGATGGCTGACAGAGCCCCGTGAAGAAATGATTGGACGAAGAGGAACACCAGGTTTATGAGTCTTAGGAAGACCATAGAAATAAGGAAGAGAAGGGCAGATGACACGGAAACGTTTAATGAGATCAAAGTCAGGAGGGCAAAGACTAGAGAGCTGTCTTAGTTTGCGGTTAAAGGAAGTTTTGAGGCGATCCAAAGGGTTAGAAGTCAGAGGAGCATAAGTGCGAGAGTCAGAGAGCAAGACATCTGCTTTTCGGAGGTAGTCCTCACGGTCAAGGACAACCACCGAATTGCTTTTGTCGGAAGGAAGGATAAGAATATACAGAATAAGAATAATAAGAATTCCCTTTCACAGTATATACTCAAATGCTCTAATCTTTCTAACAAACGTGACTTAACATAAGCTTTCCCCCTTCCATTTCTTTCTTTCTCTTTCCTTTTCTTTCTCTCTTCTCCCCTTTTTCTGTTCATTGTCTTCTCCTACGCTCTCTTGCTATCCTCTTCTTTTTCCTATTACTATCTCCTTCGGTGGTTATAATAGGAGCTGCCTCGTATGGGCCAATAGGCCTGCTGCAGTTCTCATTACTACTATCCCCTACACCTGACTTTCCTCCTCAGCTCTCTATTGCCTATTTATTGCCTGTCCCTACCTCCTCATCACAATCGACTTGAGAATGGTCCAGGACGGACCGAAACGTCGTCGTCCCTTCAATTTCTAGTGTGTGGTCTGGTCAACATACTTCAGCCACGTTATTGTGACTCATCGCCTGCATATGGATACCACACGTATGCGTCTTACTCTGTTTAATTTCTTTGATGCTCTACCTTCCTTCAAACGGCCTTTTCGCGCCTTTGAATCTTCCCTTCTTGCCGCCAAGCGTCGAAAGAACCAGCTCAGGTTTCTTAAAGACTGTCTTGCTGAGCAAGTTCTCCCTCTTTCTTTATCTCACTTTCTCCAGTTCAACACTTCGGGATCTCCTTTCCCTGAACATGCCCGCCTTCTTCTTCAAGAACTTATTCATGCCACCTCCTTGCAAGTTGACGAGGCTTTTCTTGCTGTTCGTCAACAGCAACGCTTTCTGTCCTCTTCTCTTCCCAGTGATCTATGCAATATCATTTTTCCAATTGCATTTGACACTGCTCACGTCTCCTCTTCCCACCACTCCTCCACACTACACAACAAACTTCAACGCCTGATCTCCAACAGTCCTTGGGCCAAATACTCTCTCTCTGACTGTGTTACCAACCTTTCGTCCTACTCTCTTTCTAAGCACCAGCAAGAACTTCTTGGTCTTGGTCTGTCTTTTGCTACTTCCCCTGGCCCACGCTGTGGCATTGATCTCATTAGTTCCTTTGACAGGTTTGTCAATTCTAACTCTAGTACTCTTTCGGACCTGTCTTCCTTTAGAGGGGCCCTTATCCCCGTTCTTGACAGCTTGTTTTCTAAAAATAACCACCTTCCTCGTCGCTTCCAGCTTGCCCTTGCCTCCCTGAAATCTAACAACTCTATTCTTATCCTTCCTTCCGACAAAAGCAATTCGGTGGTTGTCCTTGACCGTGAGGACTACCTCCGAAAAGCAGATGTCTTGCTCTCTGACTCTCGCACTTATGCTCCTCTGACTTCTAACCCTTTGGATCGCCTCAAAACTTCCTTTAACCGCAAACTAAGACAGCTCTCTAGTCTTTGCCCTCCTGACTTTGATCTCATTAAACGTTTCCGTGTCATCTGCCCTTCTCTTCCTTATTTCTATGGTCTTCCTAAGACTCATAAACCTGGTGTTCCTCTTCGTCCAATCATTTCTTCACGGGGCTCTGTCAGCCATCCTCTTGCCTCCTGGCTCGCTAAAACCCTGACACCTTACCTTGGCACTTTTTCCCCTGCCCACCTTCGTCACTCTCAGGACTTCACAGAAAGACTGCGCCTGCAACCCTCTTGTAAGATGCTTAGTCTTGATGTCGACTCTCTGTTCACTAATGTTCCGCTCGATGACGTTCTCTCTTATGTGTAGTATGTGGTAGTTTTTGGTAATTAGACGGACCCCTTCTGGATCCTCACTGAACACTTTGATATTTTCTTCTCCTACCACCCCTATTCTTTTGGTATGTGTGTATATTTATCTAACTTTATTTGAAAATGTCATTACACAAAAAATTACAATATTGATTACATGCAGGGTGCAAGGCTGCTTGTCACAAGTTGAACAGCTCCTCCAGCTCCTCAGATGGCGGGCAGGAACCAGGGTCCGTCTAATTACCAAAAACTACCACAAACTACACAAGCTTCAGAAAACTTCCTGGCAATACGTTAGTAATGAATAAATATATATTAAGTTAGGCTGACCTAACCTATCCTAACCTATCCTAACTTAACCTAACCTAACTTAACCAAACCTAACCTAACCTAACCGAAGCTTGGATCGTCGACTTGATTTGGCGTCACCAGCTTTTTATTTTCGTCTAATTTCTTTATAAAAAGATACTTTTTCAGATTAAAATTATGTTTTTTCGTGTTGTACATTCAGCACCAACATTATAATGAGTAAATATATCATATTTATTCATTACTAACGTATTGCCAGGAAGTTTTCTGAAGCGTGTGTAGTTTGTGGTAGTTTTTGGTAATTAGACGGACCGTCCAGAAGGTCTTCTCTGGGTACTCTTTATTTTCTTCTCCGAGGCTATGGGTCCTTACACTTGCACCAGAGGTGGTACCCTTTCTAGGTTTAAAAAAAAAAAAAAAAAAAAAATATATATATATATATATATATATATATATATATATATATATATATATATATATATATATATATATATATATATGTCGTACCTAATAGCCAGAACGCACTTTTCAGCCTACTATTCAAGGCCCGATTTGCCTAATAAGCCAAGTTTTCATGAATTAATGTTTTTTCGTCTACCTAACCTACCTAACCTAACCTAACCTAGCTTTTTTTGGCTACCTAACCTAACCTTACCTATAAATATAGGTTAGGTTAGGTTAGGTAGGGTTGGTTAGGTTCGGTCATATATCTACGTTAATTTTAACTCCAATAAAAAAAAATTGACCTCATACATAG